CTATACAACTCGTGATGATAAATCTTTGGCATTTTTGTAATATGTCCAACCCGTAGCTGTACACTATTGTCCAATAACACAGGCTACACGTACTAATACAATAAGTTGACTACATTTGGCTGATACACTTGGAACAAAACAGTGTATATGCCATCATTAACTTGAAGAATACAAAACTAATGAACCAAACTAGGAAAGTACAGTTTTGTGTTGTCGTGTCATTCCCGTTCGATCCCCACACTTTACTAACTGAGCGAACATTAGCACAAGACAAACTGCCCTTATCAGGACCACCACATCATTCAGATAGTGACTACCATTACATTATTGTTTCAATGTTGTTTTAATATTTAACATCAGGTGCTTGAACGCGATCTTCATTACACCATCGCGGAAAAACCGAATAAAAGATACCCATTTATAACAACCTGTTTTGGTTGGCTGCTGTTGAGCTGAGACAGCATAACTTCAAGATTGACATTTAAAGCTCGTTGCCACCTAAATGCTCATTACTATGCATTACTCATTACATTACTCTGATAGTTACCTCATGGAGTCAAGTGATAATTATTTTAATTAATACTGTTTGTTTTATTATGTTCTAATCTACGATCATAAATCTATTCACTTCCAAAGTTTAGGGGGTTCGATCAACCCCCCCCCCCCCCCAAACTACGGGCCTGAGCATCTCACCACATATTGTTCGACATATTGTTAGCCGATTGTTCACAGATGATGTCTTAAAACATAGAACAGTGTGTGTTCAGTGGGTCTGTATATCAATATCGTTACACCTGTGCACACTCGTAATTTCGACCTTCCTACCAAAACCAAATAAACAGGCAAAACAGTTGAATGTGGTGATGTTAAAGACAATTGCATTATAGCGTATTAGATAACTTAAAGCCATGTTTCATATGGTTTTATCGTTAAGTGCAAGCCTATAAAGCGACCAGCTGGATTAGAAGTCCACAATTGCTATAATACCACCCTGTTTATAATAATATATGTATTATAGCATAATATATCTATCTTAGCCAGAAAGAGGGTTAAAACAGCATTTATACTATAAAGATAGTAACGGAGATTCGTCTTTGTTCTGGGCCATACAAACCGGGAGGCACGATAAAAAAACATCAGACATTGAACATCGATATCTGCAACAGTGCCATGATAGTGATGCATTTTTAATGAGGTCATATAACCATATATGCATTAAATATGTTAATCAGATTTCGTGTGCATAGTATTTTAATGCAATACTGGTTCACATAAATGCCCCCTGCAACAACACAATCTTGTGACATCAGAATTACGTATATAGCTGGTGATATTTGTTTATTGTTATCCAGTCAGCCAGTCTACAGTATAGTAGTGGCTGTTTTTCACGGGGCAATACAAATAAGGTAGGGTAGAATGAATAAAATCATGAATAAAAATAGGGGTTGGGGTACTTTCATTGTAATTGTGTATCTATATCAGGAGATAAATCTCGTATATTAAATGAGGTATAGTGATAGCACAGGGTTTGATACTTTTAAAATTGTCTTATTGCCGATGTTCTGTCGCAACACGTCAAATCGGAGCAAAAAGAAATAGATGCGTGTTCATTTAAAAACGTGAACATATAAAAACATACGCGAGTCTGTAGAGGGCGCCGTATTCGTCAGTGGTCACCTGACATAATAATCGATGTCACGATGTAACGCTGGTGATGTATTAACTGGAGTCTCTATTAAAGGAACCAGAAGTGCGGGTAGGTAATCAGGTGCAGTCAACAAAGCTGTTCGTGCAAAAAGGTGTTCGCGAACGTTTTTCTGTGGGCAGGCAAAATTTAATTTAATCAGTGGGAGGGAGAAAAATTTGACTTAATATTGTGGGGAGTGGGTGTGGGTAATGCATTTTTGGAAGTGGGCAGGCAGAATTGTTAACATATGGTGGGCAGAAAATTATAACTATCAGTGGGTAAAGAAGAACTTGTGGTTACATATCGGGAGGG